GATTGCTGCTGCGGAGGGAGGTGAAGGGACAGGGGAAAGAGGTGGTGGAGTGTGGGCGGGTGAAGTAGGTGAGGGCGGTGGGATGCCTGCTTGTTGTTGGCGTTGTGCTTCTTGAAGTTCTTCCCAGCGTGCTTTGCACTGTTCAATTGAGAAGCCCACCCGACGAGCAACGTAATTCCAATTCGGTCGCAGGCGGGTGTCTGTCTTGAGTTCCACAAGGCGAACCTCAGCGTCGCCATCCCAAGCGTCCCAATCAGCATCTTCCTTGAGGGGTGGTGGAGGTTCGCGTTTCTTCTTGGGTTGTGGCAGTGCTGGTGGAGAGGTAGAGGTTGAGGATGCTTGTGAAGGGGCACGCTGTGGTGGTGCATGTTTGATGGGGGCCGCAGGAGCCGAATCACAGGAGGAAGTGGGAGAAGGGATAGGAACTGCTGTAAGGGGAGCCGGAGGGAGGGCCGGAAAAGGTCGGTGAAAATGGGGATCGACCTGCTGTGTGTGAACAAGATAAAGGCTGTGTAAGTTGGCCAGGATGTCGGTCGCTTGCTGGAGTATACGATGAAGCTGATTGAGGGCAATCGTAGTTCGATGGATGAGTCGAGCCTGGTCGGCATGAGACTGCATCTTGAGGAGCAGCGTCGGGGTCAGACAGCTGAAGTGGTATGCTGGAGCAGCGGATGGCGCAGCGCAGGTGTCAGCACTGCATGAGCGGCCGGTGCAGACATGCGGAGCATGCAATTGAATTACGAAAATGAATTATTGAGCACGAAGTTTGCGGGAAAGATAGAGATACATAGTGGGTGGCTGAAACAATACAGCCTAAAAGAAAAGGACACAATCTGTAGTTTGTCCTTGCATGAAAAGAAGAACATTGTCAACAAAATTCGCAATCCGCAAAACCTAAAAAGAATCTGAGCAATCATGCACGAAAAATCGATCAAAAGACAACATGAGCACCAAAACTGGCTGTCGGTTAGAGGAAGTGCAAGCTATGTACAATGAGAGTAAAATGCAATGCGTGTGATCATAACGCAATGGTAGAAAGACTGGAGCTCGGATTTTGCAAAGCTGGAGTTGGTGGCGGATGTGAAACTCATGGAAGGGCCTCTCTCAAGTGTGTGGAGTTGGCATTGGTGTTGAAGAAGGTGGGTAGGTCTGTGGTAGGTGGCGGAACCTCAAAGGTCCGGAGGTGTTGCGTTGATAGACCACGCCAGTCCTTTGACTATGGCGTTATGGGGGTGAATCACCCAGCATCGGGCTTTTGAGTGGCAAACAGCGCCATGGTCTTGTTGCAAGAGGTGCATGGCTTGGGCTTCGCCGCCGCTGGTAAATTTGGTCCCTCGACCCCAGGCGAGGAGATGGATCATGATAGAATGGATGCTTTTTGCCAACTTCCACGTGTTATGTAGTACGCGGGCCTGTTCGTAGTTGTCGTGGATTGGCTGGTGAGTAATGCGTGTGGCTTGGGCGAAGAAACCCGGGTTGGTGTCAAAGTGAAGGGTGCTGGGCAAGAGACGGCCCTGTTGTAGAATGGCGGTGATGTTGCCGTGGGGGCCTGTGTGGCCGGCGTTGATGCGCACTGTCTCTGGGGTAGTGGAGGTGGCACGAGTGGCGGGCGGTGGTATTGGGCGATTGGCCTTGTCGACCAGACTGGGGATGTTGATACAGCGGTAGGAGAAGGTGTCATAAGTATTGGTGGTGTCATTCCACTTCACATGGTTGAGTTGACGGAAGTCTGCCAAATCGTCGATGGTGTAGCCGATGTCAGCGAGCATTTTGGCTACGTATGCGTGTTGTGGTTTGTTCTCTGCTGCCAATTGTGTAGCGTGGAAGTCAAGCCACCATGCAATCTGTTCTTGGTGGGAAAGGCGGTGGAAATGTGGTGGGGGTGGCTTCCACTTAAGGCGGATGGGGCCGCTGTATTGCTGGAATGTTGGGGAAGTCTGCTTGGAACATGTTTGTGATGTGGTGCTGGGGTGTAGACTGCTGATTGGGTCGAAGGGTGATGGGTGCATGGGAGCGGCTGCGGGAACGGCTGTCCGAAGTGTGGTAAATGAGGTTGAAGGGGAACGGCGACGCCGGCGGCGTGTCGACGACGCTTTGGCAGTGGAGGCTGCAGGAGAGCAGTGACGTCCGGCGTGCTTAGCACGTGTGTGGCGACTGTGGTGGCGGCGACGACGTCGGCTGCGGCTTCTGCTGCGGTGGGCGCGGCCAGTGGTTGCGTGAGAGGCCGGTGTTGTGAGAGATGTGCCTGAGCGGATGGGGGCAGCCGCGGGAGGTTGCTTGTGAGGCCCCGGAGTGGGCACTGAAGGTGCTTGCGTTGGGGACGGCAGCGGTGGCGGTAGTGGTGGAACGGTGGCTGGTGGTGGAGCAAAGTGAGTGGCTGGTGACGTGGAGGGTGGCGTAGCGGTTGTGGTGGTGGTGGCCTGAGTGGGATTGGTTGGCGGGGGGGACGTTCATAACGTCCGGGGCGGGCGGCGTGGGTGCCCCCGCGGGGGGTGTTGGAGCAGAAGGAACAACGGTGGGTGGGGCTGATGCTTGATGTGGCGAAGGGTGAGCAACGGGTGGAAAGAGGGAGTAAGGCTGCCAAACGCCTTGAGGGTGGTCTCCATGAACAGGAGCTTGCTGGATTGGTGGTTGTGGTTGTGGTGCTTGCGGAGCTGGTGGAGCCGATGGGGCTGGTGATGCCTGTTGCAAAGAGGGTGAATGGTGGAAAGGTTGTGCTGGCATGGTTTCAAATGCCTGCAACTGAGGTGGTGCTGGATATGCATGTGTGTGAGGTACAAAAGTTGGTGCCTGGAGGATGTGTTGGCATGGGATGTGGCCACGTAGGGGGTGGCAGTTGCGGTGGAGCGGTCTGAAAGTGAGGGACGAGTGACTGCTGTGGTGGATGAGACAGAACAGTGGGGACAGGTGCCGGTGGTAGAGAATGGTGCCATGGTGGTGGTTGAGTGCTGACAGTGGGTATTGTGGATGCGGTACACGGTGGTGGCCATTGTGGATATGGCCAGGGAAACTGCATGGGACGAGCGATGGAGAGGTCAATCCGAAAGGCTGCGAACAATGGCGCCGGCGCGGCGCAGCAGCGGCAGTGAGAAAATTGAAAATGGCAGTGAATTCTGGAACCTGAAAACGTGTGCTGTGAAAAATTAATTAAGGTGAAATCTCGGCATGCAGTGGAATCTCTGGGATGTGAGCATGTGTACGTTGATCGTCGGTCAAATGGCTGCGGGTTAAAAAATTGGGAAATGCAGTGAACAACGTCATGACAATGCAGGACCAAATGAGTCAGGTAATCACGATGGAGTCCTTCGTTTACAGCCCGGCGGCTCGAAAATCAGGAAATTCAGAGATAAATTGAAGGAACAAAAGGTCAGTTATAAACAAGCAGGATCGATGAAATCCGGAATGGCGTCGGCGCCTCGTTTCGGAGGTTCACACCCAGTACCCACGTGGGAAGACTGAGCGGTCCACACTTCGAACTTGGGTTTTCAGTTAGATTCAATTGCCACGATGGGAAGGAAGGTGAGGGAACAGCAAGGCGAAAGGGTCCGGTGACTTGTATTGTTTAACACGTGTTTCTCTCGCGCGCCTGAAATGCAGTGCACAAGTTGCTGAAAGGTGCGGTGGGAAAACCTGTTTATGGGAGGAAACATGCAACTACCATGAATCAAAAAAGGTGGATTGGAACAGCTTGCGATCACGGCAGGTACGCTGGGATGATCAGTCCCAGTATCACCAGGAAATCGAGAGTGTCTTCGTTGGTGGCAGACTCTCGTTCCTGCTGCCACCCCCTGCCTGTGGAACAGGTGGTGAAGGTGGGGAAACCCTTAGAATCTAAGACACACACACACACTGACTTGCACTGTTTGACGCTCCCTCCCTCCACCTTTAGGATTGCCCTCAGGTTGGAGGGCGTGTTGCATATATATATATATATCTAAAATATGTCTATATATATATATACACACAAAAATGAAAAGGACAAACAATGTATATCACAGCAGAAACGGTTGCAGCGACAGCGACATAGTAGTAAAACCACACAGCGCAGCGTACCTTCACGTGCAATGTTTTTCCGATGAAGGTATAGAAACCCTGGAAGTGTACCTGATGGTTTGGACAAGTCGAGATCAGCACCCAAATGGACAGGTATTGCATGGCATTGCTGTATGGGGTCTTGCAACTTTGATGGTGCCTGTAACCGCTTTTGCATTGTCCGAACAGTGCTTTTGGATTGCGTATCAAGGTTGTTTTGATGATGTTCTCCCAGCTGCGTGAGCAGGTTGCGAGATTGTGGTGTTTGTGGTTTTTGTTGGTGGTTGGGTTTTGTTTTCTTTCTCCACGTCCTTCACGTATTCAGAGTTGATGGTTGATGATCGGTATGTACAGTTTGCTCTTCAGTTGTGCCTTTTGAGTGTACAATCTGATGTGTAATGGTGTCTTGACAGTGTTCTGAAAACTGAAATCTAGTGTCCGTTCTGTCAGTGGGTCCATTTCATTTCTCTTCTGCTGGCCGAAATACCAATACATACACTGCTGTGCAACATGGTGGTGAGGACATGTTTGCGGCCGTGTTGGACGCATGGTGATGGTATCTCCTGCTCACGCTGCCGTCATTGTGTAGATCAATATTTCCCCCGTGCACAATGGGGTACTGTTAAAACCACTGCTTGAGACACGACCTTTGAGTTTGTTGATTTTATTTTTAACCGCTCCGCAAAAAAGGAGCGCCCACATTTTTCAGACGTTGAGGCTGGCTGGTGCGCCTACGAAATGGAGAGGCTGAAACACTAGCTATTATTACTTTGAGTGCCTTCTGTGCTTGCAACTTTCAGCAGGTTTGAGTGCATTTCGCAGCATGGCTCAAGCTAGACTCTAGACCCTGACAACGAGCTTGACTGGAAGAGGTGAGGTTGAAGGAACCACTGAGTCTGAAGAAACTTAAGAAAGCAGGACAACTGCCTCAAATGGAAGGTTTGCTTGAATTGTGCCCTGCAGGCACCATGCCGCACCAGAAACGCAAGGGCCTGCCGCTATACGTGGCAGGATGGAGTTGTTTTAATGTGGACTATTTAGTTACAGATCTACAATTTTTCTATTGACTTACTAACTTGTAATGATATTTCAATGGTTTCGGGTTTCATGTTTTCACAGCATTCACTGTGCAGGATTGTCCTGCTGCTTTGCACTTTGGACCACTGTGCCTTGACCAATCATAGCGACAGGAAGTGATCGAAGGATCTTCCTTTCCCTTTTGAGGCCATTGCCTTCACAGCGCCAACCTTGCAACAGGCCGGGGACAAAAAATGTGGAGTTTTTGCCTACTGTGATACACTTTCCGTCTGCAGGGTGCTTCTGCTGCAAGTGGCGCATGGGGTGTTCAACAACGCCAAGCGCGGAACAAGCACATTGCACGCCAGGCAGAAGAAGCATTTGTAAAGAAAGCAAAACTGAAGCACATGCAGCAGGCGCTCACGGTGGATCTCACCGGCAAAGTCGCTTTCATTGCAGGCAAGTTGCTTTCGGACCTTCTTCCAGAGATTGATTTTGTGTAAAGAGGCACCCTGAAGCTGCGACTGTCAGACACCTGAAGTCGGCCAGCTTCACACTTGATGCATGTTTCCGTATCGTTACAACTATATACTAATTGCTACTAAGCAATGAATACAGTCAGGATAGCTCATGAACCAACTCATGAACAAGAGCAGCGCCATTTGGTTCACACTGGAACCCGCACTGCACTGTCGTGCAACCTCAATTGTCGGAGCAGTCGAAGGCGGACATCAGCTGATTGCACAAAACATCAGCAGGATGACTTGGGTGTTGATTGTTGGCTACCATGTGTCACGCACAGTTCAAGGAGGCCAAGATGTACAGTAGTAAGAACGAACCAGCCCTTCAGGAGTTGGTGTGAAATATTATGCTTGTAGCATCATCTAGCAGCCTGGCCGAAATGATTTCCGTCTGCGACAAGCAGAGGAACACAAAGAAGCCGACAGAAAAGTCTCCACTTAGCCCACCCTCGCGGCCTACCCGCCGGCCCTTAAAAATAGACATCGTAAAGTCTTTTTGCGCCCTTTGGCCGCAGGTTTTTGATGCTATGGCTAGGACTATGGTAGAAGATACCCAAACAGAGATTTTTCTAGGCTGCTGGCTGACTGGAGACAAGGTCTATCTCCAAGACCATTGGTGTGGATGTACGACTGCTAACTCAAGAGCCGGTGAACGTATAGTGGACAGCTTCGTTGTAAGTCGTATCCAAATTTGTGTGGAGGCAATGACAGGAACAGAATTGTGAAGGCAATAAATAATCTGGACCTGCTGCAAACTCAAAAGTGAAACGACCTGTGCGTCGGATCACACCATCACTTGGGAATCACAGAATTTGAGCATGCAGCAGTGGAATTTCCACTTGGATTGAGTCTGAATTTGATATGCCTGTGTGGCAGGGGTTGCAGATACCACAGGATATGGTTGGGCGATCGCACGTGTGTCTTGGTCACTTCAAGCCCTTGCTTCAATCTCTCCAAGGATCACTTTTTGTTTCTGTTTTCTTCTTCCTTCGCTGATGGCAAGTACCGATAAGGAGCTAGCCAATGCTGGTGCCACCATTGTTGTTGGAACTTGGCCACCTGTGCTGAAGATGTTTCTAGGCAAGATCTACAATGTACAATTCCAGGTTTGGTCGCATGATGGGTGTGTGGCGTTGGTAAGGTTCAACATGGCACTGAAGAAGAAGGCCACAGACGAGGACAGGTGATGCACTTTTGCTGTGGTGTTGGCAGCATTTTTGTATGTTGCGATGCCAAACACGCCTGCAAACTTACATTCCCGATCCTTTTCTTTTCTTGGATGCGCATTAGGCAAAGAAGCTTGACGATGGCTCGTTGATGGAGAGACTTTGTTGCACCAGTCAGAGCTGGATTAAATTAGATTAATCCGCCCACACCGCTTGTCGGTGCAGGGCGTGCTATTGGGGCTCTTGAGCTCTGCCGCCTATGCAAATAGCTCTGCTAGGGGGGGAGGTGACATCCCTTGGAAAGAACACAGTCTCGAGAGAGGTCCAGTCGGACGATGCTCGGACACGAGTCGAATGCAGTCTCGCAGAGAAAGCAAGCGGTTTTTCTCAGTCTTGAGCCAAATGTATCAGTCATTGTATAGACATCAAGTGTGAGACCGTACAGAGGTTAGTTCGGTAAAAGCGAAGCACAAAACAGACACAATTTTCCTAACCTCTTTGCATGTAATTGCCTTGGTCGATAATTGACACAAGGAGTCTTTTTTTGTACTTATTCTCCTTTTCAGAGTTCATATTTCTGATCTGCTATGTACAGGAAGTTCCTAACATCCTAACGAAAGTGAGACCGAATGCATCAAAGGCTTGAATCAAGATCTTAGGCATCTGAACTGCCTGCGGCGGCTGAATGGACATGTTTCACGGTCAGTTGCAATGGATAGTGCCAGCTTTGGTCATTGCCACCAATCACTAGTGCTTCATGAGGTATATGCTTATACCGTTCACAGGACTCAACGGTAAAAGGGATCTTCGGAGCTGGTCGGATCGCTCCTCCTCTGCCATTCAAATCCTGACGGTCATCGAGGAAAGGATCAAAGACGAGACTCTGGTATTGCTCATTTGGATCGAAGGATGTATGGTCCGTTTGGGCATATTTGTGGCAGACCATATGTTGATGACTTTTCCATTTGATCCAAGAGGTCATAGCTCCAAAAATCGAATCGTACTGAGGTGGCTGGAAGCCTTCAAAGAATTTGGCCGTCTCGACACTGTTTGATCTTTCTCTGTGCTTCATGTGTTCATACATCCGTTTTGCTTCGAACTCGGCCGGTGTGGAACTATGGATCGAGGCATTGACACGGAGGTGCTTCAGTTCCTTGGAAGTATAGTGCTCATTGATCGTGGTCATATATTCTCGAAGATAATGGGTAACTGGACCACATCTCACTCCCATGATTGTTTGGTCATCGAAGCATCGGTTAACGGCAAGGTTGGCATCGCCGGTCAGGTAGTCGATATGCGTAGCGAGACAATCGAGACAAATACACGGCGATCTTGGGCATACCTTTCCTACGGCATAATTGCGCGTTAGCGTGGAGAATTCCGACTATCAATTCTGGAAAACCGGCACGGTGGACTTGGGTCGTAGGATTGTTCGTATAGGCCATCGGTGTCTTATCTCGAAGATCGGTTTCTGAGTCAGTCCCACCTTACTGCATCACCGGTGTTTGGTTGGATCGTAAGGTCAACCAACTCGTTCATTTCTCCTAGAAACTCAACCTCATGTTGCGGAAACAAACCCTCTCGTGTGCATTGGTCTAGGTACTTGTACGAGCTTGTGTAAAGAGTCTTCCTGTGCTTAGCCACGGTCGGAATAGACGCGTCTCAGAATCAATGTTCTTGTTGTTCTTGTGGTAAAACATCGAAAATTTCACGGACTCCGGCTTGTCTAGGCTGTTCGTAAAATGATATCTGATCGAACCGGCCCTATTGCCGAAATTGATGCGGAAAACTGATCCGGTGGGAATCCACGTTTCCATGTCATTCATCTTTCGCGCATCGGTATAATATAGGTCAATCGAAAGGACATTTGGAGGACCCTTCAATGGCTTGTACTTCTGGTTCATGTGGTTCTTAGGCAGCTTATGTGGACGGCCCCAGTGACCCAGGTTCAACGTCAGAATGGAGAGCGTATTTCCTGAGACATGACAACGATTCTGTCTGGTCAAGGACTTAACAATCTGTCTCGGAATCCCTGTGATCAACAGGAGCTTGCTTGCCAGTTCTTGTAGGTAAGTGATGATCGCATCGGAGTCACAACCGGCTGTAAGTTCACCACTTTCGTGGCAGTATTGATCGAACCCAAATGCTGGCAATGATTCTCGGAAAGGAGCGTGGACCAAGGTTGCTGGTAAATACCACGGCGACCCAAATTCAACGGCGCTATTATAGCTCTTATAGTCATCGAGTCATCGAGAATAAGTTCTGGCGCGAGAGGAAAGTAGTCACTTGCAACGGCGTAGTAATGCGGCTCATACTTCTCCTCAGTGTCCTTAAGGTGAATGCTCATGTATGCAATGGAGAATGGACCTGCGGACTTAACGGCGCTTGTGTATTCAGCAAGGACATGACGGTCACTATGAAGAAAACTGCCCATATCAGTAGGTCTTGTCACTTCCTTCATTGTTCGATCCTCGAATGCGTTGTTTCCTGTGCTTGGGTCAACAATCCTCACCAGTTGGTGTTCATGAGTTAGATTTTATTTTGCGATTCATCGAATCTGGTCATACAGCGAGTACTACAGTCGCATCTTTGATTGATCTTAGGCACCTGACATGGCATACACTGATAACGGCCACAGAGCTTGCGCATAAAGGTCGTAATGTTTCGAATACAGATACTGCAGACCCGATCGCCCATGTGCATGTAGTAAGGGCCATGTTTTGCGGACGAAATGCTTTGGCCATATCTCGGATCGTGTGGTTCGAAGGTCATTTTTGCGATCTCAAATGGTTCATCATCCTCATCGATCTCTGGAACATGTGACTTAATGGTCATGGCAGTCTCGGCGGTGGATGCACGGGACTGAAGAGGAGGTTCTTGGCCGCTTAGTACCGAGGAAGCATGAGATGGAAGTGGTGGTTCCTCTTGCATTGGATCTTCTGGAGGTTGTTCATATTGTGACTCTGCTTCAGTCCTACGCGGACGTAGATTACGATCTTGGTTGTCTGGTTCTTATGGTACATCGGATGGATTACTTGCATGATCACAGGTTCTTTTCCTTTCAGCAGATTCACCGGACATCATCTGGTTTTTCTTGTTCTTCCTCCATGGACTCTTCGTCTGTTTTTTCTTGTTCTTCCTCCATGACTCTTCTGCTACTTGTTCTGTGGTGCTATCAACTTATTGGACATACGAAATTGGCCTGCAAGATCACGGCGGACATCTTCGGATTGTCTTGCTTCTATGTAGGACTTGCGAGCAAGATCTCGAAGTTGGATTGTGGTATCCTCGTCTGGACGAGGATCATGGCTTAGTTGCGAAGGCAGAGCAGTATCTAACTGAACAATATCGGCTGGACGACGACCAAAAGCAAGCTCAAGAGGTGTCACACCCCCATAAATTATGGAGGTATTGCGCGCTAATGCGGCTTCACGCAGAAGCTGTCGATAAGACACAGCATGCAATGATGCTGGCGCAGAACGATCATGTATGGACTGCAACACGACTTTAACTTGTTTCTTAAACAGATTCGGCCAAGGTGTCATCGGTCCAAGACTGACAGGACGGATGTTCAGAATCTGACAGATTCTTTCCCATTCCGGCGTCATGAATGCTTGGTCTGCGACAACATACTTCGGCTGTAGTTGATACTGATCTACATACTCACGAAAGATCTTAATGGACTCAGGTTCACTCTTGGAAGACGCTGGTGACGAGGTCAGCAGTGTGGTTTCTCCATCCAATATTGTCAAAACAATAATGCGTTCTCCAGTCGGTGTTGTCATCTCACAGTGATCCATGAAAGTCATCTCTCCAAAAACTTCTGATCTTAAACCACTAGTCTTACTGCGTGTTGGCGCAGTCTTCGACTTCTGACATGTCTCACACTCTTCAATGACTGATTTGTACAGATCATAAGTTTCAGTTGGCAAATAAAGTGGTTTAAATTGTTCATAACTCATATGGTGGTGTTTCATGTGAAGCTTCAACAGTTCCTTCTTATTCGAAAGACGTTTATGTATTCTGGCGAGAGCTGTCGGCAACGAAGGTGGTGGATCAGCGAATGGATCGCTGTCCTTGGGCTCCTTGGTGTCCTTTGATCTTGGATCACGACCGGAAGATCATCAGCATTCTTGTCGCCCTTCTTCTTGCCTGACGATGACGAAGACGACGGCACAGTTCGATCCAATATCGGAACTGGTGTAGTAGGTGAATCAGTAGTGGCAAACTGAGTTCTACCAGTCCGTGGTTTCTCCATCATTCTGCGACCATATCGGGTTCACCAGTTTCAAGTTGAAACTCGGTCCTGCGTTCAGGCAATAAATGTTCCAGAGGAACTGGACATGTAGACTTAGTTTGGAACATATAATGATTTCCGGGCGGTATTGTGGACACGGATCAGGACATTATGACCTGGAACATACAACCAGTGATCATTCTTGGGATGTCCTCCCAGAATGCGCTGCTTGTCTAGATCAGTAGGATCGACAGCAGGTAGGGCCTTAGACGAAACGGACTTAGACGAAGTGGCAGCAGGTTTGGCGGCAAGAGCACTATTCAAAAAGCTCCATTGCGCATCTGCGTCTTCTGCTGCGGAAAAAGTGTCCTGTCTCACGAAGGAGGTCAGGTCTAGCATAGCATGACCAGAGCGGGCCCATCGGCAAGAGGGCTTGCTTCAACCCGAAAGATGGGCAGGTCATGAAGTGGCCTTCGTTCGTATGCTCTGAGTATGGTGACGTTCAGGTTCCTCATCTGTTCAATTGAGAAAAGAATCGGGGCCTTACCTTGATCCAGGATGTCAACATAGGTACAACATGGAGGCGACGTTTGGAACTGAATTGCTAGCTTATATTCGGCCTTTCCGATCTGTCCATAAGGTAAAAGTGGTATCACCAGGTTCATACCAACAAGTAATGTACGGATTACCACTCTCACGAACTGCCTGGACAAAACGCTCAACGGCATACCATGAACCCATGCTCTTAGTACATCCGTTATGGAGAATGACATGAGTAGGGTACTTGGCAGGCTCGAGAACTTGCGAAAGGCGTGTCCTTGGAACCGCTGAGGCCATTGCGTACGGCTGCGCAATATTGAGGCCATCCTTAGTCGCTGAACTTGTGGCATCTACGAAGATACCAACTTACTCTCATATGTCGACCATTCAGGGGAACCGTGCCAGGTATCCCACGTATATGCATCATCTGACCAGGACCAGTCGTCCGTGGAAGGGTCTTGAGGCTCCTTGGCTGCGCTCGAGGTCGGCTTGGAGCTCGAGGTACCTTGTTCATCGGATGTTTGGAAAGTCTTGGACTTACCCTTGCCCTCCTTTCCTTAAATCATCCTTACTGCTGAATTTGAATTTACATTTGGACTTGAATTTGCCTCCTTTCTTACCTTTCGATTTTCCTTTGCCCTTACCCCAGTAAGACTGATCTGGTTCTTGCTCATCTTCGGCCATATTGGCCTTGCCCTTGCCTCGACCTTTTCCACCGCCCTTGCGGCGGCCCCTTAGGCGTCTACCTGGGACCCTACGGAGAGCGAAACATTCGTGTTTATCAACGGGGCCTCTTCATCGTCTAACGGCGTAAAGCCTTCCTCTCCGTTCTCTTCATCCTCGACCCAGAAACCTTCCTCTCCTTCATACTCTCCTTGATCAAGGATCCAGAACGAACGCTGCTTGTTGTGTGGGAAAATGTTAGGATCTTGAATTGCCGTTCAAGAGCCTATGAAGAGGTCATAGTACTTCCGCTTAATAGTCTCTAGGTCATATAAGTGGATCAGAATTCCTTGCTGTGCAGTTCACTAGTTAGCCGTTCACGCTGACCATCTGAAAGCTCGGACTGGATGATAAAGAACAAAGCTATGAAGTTATTGGTGAATGGGCACAAAAACATATGTCGGTCCTGACAGATCCTGTTCCACTTGTCCAAGATATCCTGGCTTGCCGGAGTTCTATCGGTCCAATCGGCTTCAGGTGGTCGGGCTGGTGGCGAACTTCCTGACGCTGCTGCTGTGTTGCAGTCGGCCAGCCATTGGGTATAAACGGCGCGAGCTCTTTCTGCACCTACGCGATTGTATTTAGCAAGTTGTTCACGGAATTCTGCAGTCAACTCTACCTTGGGCATGGTGTCCATCCATGAGGCACGAAGCCGGCGTAAGAGAATCTCAAACTTGCTAATGAATGTCACGCATTTTTTGATTGCCTCTACGGTGATTGAAGAAATTCAAAGCACGATAGAGGAAAACGTTCTGAGCTCCTTTACGAAATACGGCCTTAAAGTCTGCAGGAAGTAATTAACTCCATTCTCAGGACCTTTAAGATGATCATTATATTTAGAAGCCCTCTATACATCGTGGCGTCGGCAGTTAACCTGGACTTGAGCAGTGGTCCGAAACGTTCGGGCTTATCAACGCTAGTTATCGACAACCAGTCCACGACTGCCCCCTCGTACCTAAACCAATTTACTCGTCCGTCAAAGACAGGCGGCAGCTTTGCGTTCATATGCAAGGACATCGGCTCCTCGCGGGACTGACGTGTTGCAAATGCTAGCATGGCTGCCATGGCACTAGGACCAGGGAAGTTCCGTAGCATCATCGCCTCACGCAGGCTCCGCTACCACTATTGACACGAAGTGCAACGCAGTGACTTGGAAAGAACACAGTCTCGAGAGAGGTCCAGTCGGACGATGCTCGGACACGAGTCGAATGCAGTCGCGCAGTGAAAGCAAGCGGCTTTTCTCAGTCTTGAGCCGAATGTATCAGTCATTGTATATACATCAAGTGTGAGACCATACAGAGGTTAGTTCGGTAAAAGCGAAACACAGGGGGGCCATATTTTTTCGCGTGTGCGCGGCGCGGCTATGGTTGGGCTGCAGGGCCACTGGGGAGAACATTTTGGAGTGAGCATTTTGGAGTTACATTTTTGGATGATTTTTCGTTACGTCGTGCCTGCAGGGCCACAGGGGAGAGCGTTTTGGAGGAGTCTTTTTGTTTTGGGGTGGTTGCTGCGTTGATTCTTGGTTGGGCTGCAGGCCCCTGGCAAGAGCGTTTTGGAGGTGTATTTTTGGTTGGCTTTTGGCAATGCCGAAGTTGTATCACCATTATGGGCCCCAAGCTCCAACGCCGCAAAACAGCCAACCTGGCGCCTAGATGGCTGCACTTGTCCCCCATTTGGAGCCAAAGTAGTTCGCAGACAGCGTTTTGGAGGTGTATTTTGGATGGCTTTTGGCAATGCCGAAGTTACATCACCATCATGGGCCCCAAGGTAGACGAAGTTGGCCCCAAGATGGCTCCAACGAAGCCGTAAGACAGCCAACCTGGCGCCTAGATGGCTGCACTTGTCCCCAACCTGGCACCTATATGGCTACTCCCATTTCACTAACTTCGGCTGTTCGTGCGCGGTGTGGGCGGCTGTCGACGCGAAGCGTCTTGAATGAACCATTGATCTTTGCAGCTGTGAGCGAGCTTGATGGTGCCTTCAACCTTGCTTCTTGCGGCCACTTCGGTGAGGATTGCTAAAATTTACCCTTTGGATGCGATGTTTGACGTGCCGGAGGATGTCCCTGATGACGTGAAGTCCAACAAACGTGCCATAGAGGGAAGACTAGCAAAAGAAGTCATCCATCATTCAGCGAGTTTCCTCTCCTGGAAATTCACTGGCAGACGGATATCGGATACTGTAGTGGTTTGCCATATGGCCTCGGAATTGTTTACTTTGCCCGGCTTGTTCAGTTGGTTTTATTCCGGTTTGACATTCTCTATTCTTTGCGAGTTGCCAAGGCTACGCAGGTGTGGAGGGCTACACCATCGAGGACCTCTCGATCGCGACATTTTCTGTGCTGGGTGAACATTTGCATTTTCAGGTCCTTTTCAAAGCATGAGAGGAGTGCGTGGAAGCTGTCAAGAAGGACTACGGCCAGGCAACTGAGTTTCGTTAATCGCTAGGCAAAGGTCTGGAGGAGTGACGTTTCGAGTTGTAATATCAATGAATGTGCTCCCCAAAAACCGTATTTCAGGTGGATATTCTGGTGCACTCTTTGGCGAACGGCCCGGAGGTGACAAAGCCATTGCTGGAAACCAGCCGCAAGGTGCACTTGCAAATGTTTTTGTTCTTTGTCTCTTCAGCTAAGCCAAAACACATAGTCCATACATAAGGTTTGTTGTGGTAGATTGTTTTGCATGGCAGATTAAGAGAAGAAACACAAACTAGGAAGGAGAGACAAGCTGCCCGTCGTTTATGCAGGGCTACTTGGCAGCGTCCTCTGCCTCTGCATATTCCTTGGTCTCAATGGTTCAGCGTCGCTTGGCTGTGTATCAGTCAAGGAGCAGAGATAGGGAGATCTTGTCAAGGGTGTTTTGTGCAACTGAGGCTTTGGACCTATCATGCCAAAAGGTGGTGCTGTTATCTCTTTGTCCTATGTTGCAGCAGACCCTTGGCTGCACTGTGCCTGTTTCTTTGAATATTCGCTCGATTGTTTGCCTCAGTCTGTATGCATCTTCAGACGAGCATATGAAGGTCCGAACTATTCCTGGCTATGGAGGTGGAATGAGCAGTGCAAAGGTGCGTAGCACACACCCACACCTAGAGTTTAAACATGCTCCCGCGTTTTGTGTGGATTCTCATCTCCTTCGGCCCAAGGCGCAGCTTGAGTCGGACACTCGAACACTCGCTTATGAAGCTTCTTGGCAATCCCATTACTACCTGGAGGATGTTTGAGGTGTTTTTACATCAAGGGCTCATGTAACATATTGGATCATGAGCTTGATTGGGACAACTTGTTACAATAAGTGCAGAATGTATAGGCCAATTCAAACAACTTCTGTTGGTCAAGGCGGGTCGCAAGCGACTTGGACTATTTCATCGTGCGTAGTGATTGTGGCTTCTGCAAGCACACTGGAGGGAAGGGCAGCCTTTTAACAATTTTGTGGGTAGCAGATGGGTGGTACAAAGTATGTTTTTGACATGATTGAACAAAGTGGCTCGAGGTCGCCAGTTTTGTGCTTGGACTTTTGTGCGTTTTTGTGAACAGGTATGGCATTCGTGTGAACACGATCTCTGCTGGACCATTGAAATCGCGTGCTGCATCAGCTATTGGTGGCGACGGTGAAAAGACGTTCATCGAGCGTGCCATTGAAGCATGGCTATGCTTTATATAATTCTATATAAATCAAAAGACGATCTGTAGAATCGGAGTCACACTTGGGTGCAATGTTGGGGTTATTCGAGGGTGTCGGTGAACAGTTGATTGTATTTGTGTGAAGTCATTCACCACCTTCTTCAGTCGAAGCCAAGCTTGAGCACACCTTTGCCACATCGCAAGGTCAATGAGCAATTTTGGCTTGAAGAGCCAACCAAAAACTTTTCTCCCAGCAGCATGAAGGATGGGTCATAGGGTGCTAGGGGGGGGGGGGGGAAAAAGGGGGACAGCAAAGAGAAAAAAATCGATGCTGTCTCAGAGGATGAGAGGTAAAGGATGCTGTGAACAGAAGAAGGGCATTGAAAACCAATAGGGCTTATAAAGGCTTATTACATGTCAAGAGGCAGCATTATCTCTTACTAGTTCTTATTAGGGCCTATTTCAACATCAAAAAAGACTAATATCAAATAATAAGCCTTATCGAGCCTTATTGGATTGATCACAGTTTTGAAAGGAATTGAAGTAGCCTGAACCCTATTTTCTTTCAATAGACCTCGAATGCTCTCAAATCAGAAAGGTTTCTTCTCAAATCTTGCTGTACATATATTATATATATACGTATGTTTTGCTCCACGGTTTTACCAAAAGCGTTGGCTCTGACATCAAACATGGGAACAATCACATTCTCAAACCAACTTTAACCCCACAATGACCTGTAGCATCACCAGTCAGCAAGACTAAGCAGGGGTTTGATTAGATGTGCTTCAGCCAACAGAGTAAACTATAAAGGACAAGATTAAGCAGCCGCAACTGCCAAATGGTAGAGTCGCATGTGGCTGCTGCGAACAAGTTTGGGTCTTGCAGACTCTTTCACGTGGACAAGGATGAGTCAGAGTTCAATGCAATCAATGTATATGTGGCCAAGAAAGGTAGCAACACACAAACAGAGTGGAATCTGGGTAAGGTAGCTTCCCACATATGGAACTTCTCAGGTCCAAAGGACTGGAAGAAAAAAATGAGCCACATCATGGAAGCAGTAAAAACTACACATTCCAAGATTTGGTGTGCCAGGCCAGTACCGATGCTCTATGAAAGCAAAACAGGGGGCAACAAGAGAAAAAGGTCTCAGGAGGATGTTGGAGAACAACTTTTTGCTGAGAAAACCATTCCAACATCCATGCTCTTCGCATTGTTGGTCACCGTGTTGACTCAGGGAAAACGGCAGCCGAAGGACAGAATCAAAGGGATCATGTTTTTGCACTGCCTCATTGACAAGGTCTGTGCATTGTCGGATGGGCGCCAAACGGCTGAGCTTTTGCGCGGCACTATGGGGTATGGTAGTCAGCAAGTCCATGCTGAGTTGGCAAACAATGGGACTTTGTTGGGGCCTCTTTGGGATAGGGCCTTGGAGCAGGGGGGTCAGCTAGAAAGCTTGTGGAACCACCAGCTGTGTGATACACACTGCCCTTGGGTTACATCAGCCTTTTCCGAGCCGCACATAGCAGACGTCATTTGCTTTTGCTTGATGGCTACTCCTCCAAGCACACGCCGCCGAGACGCAAATGTCTTGAATCTCTTCAGGAATGCTATGACTGAACCGGTCTATTTTCTGGTGGGCTTCATTGCTAGGCAAGTTGAAAGCAACATGATCTCCATTACAGTGCCTCCCAAAAACCTTTCCAGAAAGATTGGCCGCGCTTCCAAAATCAAAGCACGCCAGAAAAGACTGGATCGTTCCTCAATGGGAGAAATCATTGCAGAAGCGGTTCACCTATTGTATGATGGACAGGCTCCCCGGTTGAAGTCGAAACTTGAAACCAAATCTAGACTGCAGTGTTTAAGTGGTTTTTCTATGCAATGTATTGGTTGGGAGTGTTGAATCTAATTATTCTCAGGCAACCCCGTGAAACCCTCACTCAGCACCAGCTCCAGGTCAAATCGATTCGAAGGGCTTTGGACCTTGCACATGGATCTGGGATTGCTGTGCCAAATGCAAGTCTTCTTTTTGCAGTGCCGGGCTGAATCTTCCACAGAGTTATAGAGTATAATATAAGGTGACACTATACAGAGTTATGACCCTAGGCTGTCATGGCGGCTCGTGCGAAAGCTGAACTATCAAGCCAGCGGCATTTCCACGCTGGACTGGCTAGTTTGCCAGAAACATACCTTCATTTCAACCATTTGATTCACTGTAGTCCTGGACAGCCAGATACTCTTTGATGGAAGTGACATCTCTGGCAAGCAGCATGAGTTGTTCCAGGTGGGCTCCAGACTGACTGTGACAAACACGGGATCTTTGGAACACTGTTCATGGGCGAACCAAAGCAACATGTTCAGTGGAAACTGGAACTTGTAGCAAAAACTCAATCAACATATTGTTGCAGGTGTGGAGCCCTTGGCTGCGGAAGGGGTGCTTCGGCCCCCCACTGGCAAAGCTCTCAGACAAGTCTGATTTGAACAATGGATTTTCACACTGTTTCTGGATGTTTCGGGTTCCGTGATTGAGCCAGTTGAACCACCAGCTTCTGCTGCAGCGCCCACTTTTTGCAAGAAGAAGGGGCGCAAGAGTGAACCAGGTATAACCAGGTATCTTATTACAGTATATACTACCAGTTCTGGAGTGTGTAAAACAATAGACTGTTAGACGGTAAACGGTTTAGGCTTTGGGAATCAGACTTCCTTGAGCATTGGCCAACTTTGCCATGGCGGGCCTTTCAGAATCATTAGATCGCCTGACAGAGACCAGGATCACTGTCAACACTGATTCAAGTGACCCGCCAATCCGCCCTACGCCAACTCAAGAATCAAGTTCATCGTCGTCAAGTTGCCTTCCAGACTACAAGGCCTGCCCAAGAGCCCAAAACCAATGCTACTTAACCTGCAATACCCTAGAAGTTGGAATAAATAGCAAAGGCCCTTCTTCACCCATCGCAACTACCAAACTACCGCCCTGAGGTGGATTCGAGCTTGCCACGCCTGGTCCAAGCTGCACAGTGCCTCCACTATGCTGTACACCTGGTCCATAAATGGGTTCCTGAAGGATATTTGCGCAAGAGTCTACTTTGCAATGGGCGCTCTATGAGCAGTTCATGCACAGGGGTCTTCACAGCTGAAATCGCCATGGGTATAATTCAGAAAGCTTGCAATGCTTCTGGTTTCTTCAACTTCCAGGTCGACATGGATTGCTTTTGTTGCTTTGACTCTTGCCACAATCACAATCACACAGCACTTACAATCTGAGTCTCAAACGCCCTCCTTACTTCATTATGGGCAAAAACTAGGTTGACATTCTTAGAATAAGCGCACTTCTCTGGGCCAGCCAAGGAATTGGACAGGCATTGCCAACAAGCTATCTTGGACAATCACCGATGGAAGGAAGAATGGACTGACCGAACCTCCAGCAGTCCTCCACATATCTTTGGAGATCTCAAAGAGCAAGTACCTCATGGCCAAATCAAGGAAACCCTTCCCTTTCGGGCTAGAGCGGGACAGGTGGCAAGGCTTCCACTATGCCGGCACCAATACTGCTACACTCATGGGGTTTTTTGCCAGTCAGCTGCAAGGGTGGATTTTGAGGTTGCGGGGCTCCCTTGCCAAGACAACTCCAGAGCCAACCAAAACCGCAGGTTCTTTGAAGGAAACCATGGCTCAGTATATTTGGCTTGGGCAAGGAGGCACTCAGAGCTGCAAACCCCACTTATTCTTGTGGAAAACACACCAGATGCTCAGCTAAAAAAGAACAAGGAACAACTTTTGAAATCAGAGCTTTTGGCTAGCCAACATACTCCATGGCTTGATTCTGGTGTGATTCAACCAGTCTAAGGACATTCCCCTACAAGATCTTGCTTACATCTTGCCGGACTACACGCTTTACCCCTTGCTTGTAGACCCCATGGATGTGGGCCATGCTGGAGTTTCTCGCAAACGTTGCTACATCTTTTGCTGTCACAATTCTTCTGGTGTGTGTCTCTATGACATCTACGATATGTACCAGAAAGTTGTGGAGTGTCTGTCGCAGAAGGTATCAACTGAATGCCAGGACTATTTTCAGTCCTCCAACTTTGAAAGGACAGTGCACCTTGAGTCGGTTGCCCGAAAGCGCAAAATTCATTGCGTTGACATGGAAGCTTAGCCCATTCAGCATTCATGTTTAGCTTTCTCTTTTAGACGGTCTTAGTGGTGCTTCAAAAACCAATTCAATAACTTCTTTCCATTGTTGCAGTCCGCTCAGGATGACTTCTCCCGCTCTACCAGGGAGGTTCTCAATGAGCGCGAAAGTGATCTGGTGGGAGGCTTGGACAGAGCCTATGTACGCCGGACTGGCAAGGTGCCTCAAAGCAACCTGAACCTTGTGTACTTCTTGGGAGATTCATTGGCATGGAAGGCCTGGTCTGCTGCGAACCAAAGAATCCCAACTTTTCGAAGACAGAGTGGCCTCTTCCTGCAGCGTGCTACATGGAGACTTTTGACTCCTTATGACAAACTCGCAGCCCAAGGCTGGCCAATGTCAGAAGAAGTAGCTCGTGCCATGGGAGTGACAAAGTTTCCCTGCCTTGATTTAAGTCGCGCAGACAGCCACGTTGGCAACGCAATGCACATGTCGAATTGTGCCTTGCTTGTTCTTCTTGGGCTCTCCTGTTTCGGAAAGCAATAACTGTTTAGAGAGTAAAGGCCTGTTTGATGTCCAAGAGTTCATAAACCTGTAAAGGGAGCTGAAGCAAAGGAAAAATAGACAGAGACACGTTTTGCTTGTCAAGCTGCAGTGCTGTAGAGCTTCTTAGGGATTGTTTGCACTATGATGCCAGAATAATCGGCAAAACATAGTAGCAATTGTTCGAACAGTGAATCCGTAATCACATTCTTTTCGACTGTGCTGATATGAATTTTATTTGTTTCAATGTTCGGTTCAGTCAGTTTGTCATCGGATGTGATTAAACATCAAAGCCGATGCCTGGACATTAGTTTTCACAGCTGCTTCTGCAGCATCTCTCACAG